ACACACACACACACACACACACACACACACACACACACACACACACACACACACACACACACACACACACACACACACACACACACATACAACAAGAGCAACGTGATCCAAAGACACACACATGCATACAAGCACAGTAATGACCCCCACACAGCACCCATTCATCACTTGGTTGGGTCGCTGCGGGATACAACTAATGAGGCATCATAGTGGCTGTTACCCAGAATGCATTGCATTAGCCCTTCAAGGCTTCATGCTATTTGGCCATTCATTGACACGCGTGGAACTGAGTGCTTTTGTGCAAAAAGTGCAGAAAGTCACTCACTGCTGTTTGTGTATGGTGTGTGTGCGTTTTCTATACAATGAATGGTAAAATTTAAACAGAGTATAAATCAATAAAAAAAATGTAAGTGTGGAGTCACTGAATATCTCACAGAGCTGCAGATTTTTATGCGTCTTTTGTGTCTCATGGCTGATTTCTGCTTGAGCCTAAGTGGTCGAAGCCGTTGCCAGCGTTCATCTCTGTGCTTTACATTATGGTTGTGTCCTGGTGTTTTGCATGCAGATTACTTCTGTCCCTCAAGCTTGCTCTTTCTTTCGCACCCATTCCAATAGGTTTTGCAATTTTCCTGTAGGGATTTGTTGACATCTGCGAGTCCTCATTTTGAGGCTTTGATAATTATTTTTTTACACTGAGGCGATATTTATTATTTGCTTATCGATCCATTCAAAAACTGAGGGGAAAACGTAAACACATATTTTCAACCTTCAATTTTCACTTCTAAAGTCTGTGAGTGGAAATATCTGGAGTTTGCTACACCGAGTTGAAACGGTGACAAACACAACCAGTTAGTATGAAAACCGGTTAAACTGGAACATGCAAATGCAAAGGCAGAATCAATGGTACTGAACAGGACATTCACAACAGATGTGCAGTTAACAGAGAGGTGTCTGTTAGGCTACATCATACAGTTTGTGATAAACTATTAAAATTATTAGAATAAGATCCAGTCTCACAGCAAAATATATAAGAGCTAAGTTAGTTCTAAGTTAGGCACAAGCAAACTGATCTGGAAAAGCTCCACTGCTGCTCCCATCCCTTTGTAGCTGACAGTGGATCGCTATAGTGGTCAATCCAGGCTTGTTTTGCTTGTAATCACTGCAAGTCTATGAGATTTCATTGAGATGGTCAGTTATCAGCACAATCCTGCTAAAGCCTTCCTGTGTATACTCCGTTTAAGCCTCTGGGGGTAAAAGCCACTGTTCTGGAGCCTTTAGTGCATATAGATAACTGATAATTGTCCTCTTATAATCTAACTATGAGTGCAGATTTAAAAAAAACAATAACAAGGACTTGTAGTTACTCAGACTACAAACAACAACTGGTGAAAAAACTCTTGACCTTTGCCTACAGATTACTGTAACCACCACCGACTTGCAAGAAAAAAGGATGAATTAAGACGTACATCGTTATTGTAGATCTGGTCTAACCTTATGTGTGGTGCATCAGACTATTCACAAGGCAATAAAGCAAATGGTCAGATCTCAACAATGTCTTGAAAACAGCGAGTATTTCTCAACCATAAAACTCTGTAACTCTGCGACATGGTATAGATGAGGTGGACCAGCATCAAATGTCTGTCCCCATCACTGCAATTCCCAGGAGAAAGGGGAAGAAAAGGTGGGAAGGAGAGCAAACTCACCACTAGTCTCAGGTGGTCCTGGCAGGCTGCAGAGAACGAGAGAGAAAGAAAAGCAGATGAGTTTGCGTTCACTTTTGATGTTTTCGTGAACATTTTGCAGCAAAGACCTAAACATCGATGGCTAAAAGCATCTTAACAACTCTGCACACTCCCACAGGCGCGCACCAAAAACACAAAAGCATGAATACGGAGTGCAGCATCCCACATCAGCTCAAGGACAGGAGGAGGGAGAGGGATTTACCACGAGAGACAGATGGAGGGAAAAATAAAGGGGGCATAGAGAGTGTTTAAGAAATAGGCAAGTAGTAATATAGGTCAGTCATGACATCTCATGTGTATAGGTGTCAGTTAATTAGGTGCATTATCATCTTCATGGATTATGAGCATAAACTTTAATACGCACACACTTCTGTGTGTGGTATGTGTGTGCAATGTTTTTCTGCCACAGCAGCAGATGTTACAGGAGCAGAGGGACCAATGAAGAGACGCAGGGTGAGACAGATGTATCCCTGAACTGATACATTAGGTTGATTTTTCATATATTTTCAGTTTTGGTAAATCTGAGTCCTCCACTGCAGATTAAAAAAGAGATTGCTTGCTGACTGGGGTGAAGAAATCATTTTTAACTTGTGATAACATTCTGGTTTTAAGAGAGTTTTACTGTCCCACAGTGGCAAACAAACAGGTGTCTCCACCCTTAAGTTATGGTTGGATTTTCCTCATGCTGGTAAGATAGGATAGGACTCGTGCTCAACAGTGTGAGTTTTACCAGGAAAAACATAGTCTAACCTTTTAAATCACCAAGTCACTCATAAAAGTGTTGCCATGGTTACAACAAAAAGTCCTTAAAATGTCATGCAGATAATCTCTCCTTATCTATCTATCCATCTTCTGTCACTTCCTGTTTGCAGAGGCAGCCTACTAAGCAGAGAAGCTCAAATCTCCTTCACCCCAGCCACCTCCTCGACGGGAACACTTAGTGATTCTTAGTCCAGCTGAGAGACAGATCCTTACAGCGAGTCCTGGGTCTGCCTCCCTGTAGGACACATACCTCACCCAGGAGACATTCAGGAGGACTCCTAGTCAGATGCCCGAACCTCCTCAACTGACTCCCTTTGATGTGGAGGAGTCACGGCTCTACTGTGATTTCCTCCTTTATGGCTGAATCACTACAGGAGAGCCCAGACACCTTTTAGAGGAAACTAATTTCTGTCACACTAATTCTAATTCCCACATTTCACACTGAGCTGTGAACCACTTCAGTGGGAGCTGAAGGTTACCAGCTGATAAAGTCAGCCGAAGCACATCATCTACTGAAAGCAGAGGGGTGACCTTGCATACTTGGCTATGCATAGAAATTCTATCCACAAAAATCTGGAATGTATCCGACGTGTTGATGGGATGAAGGACCAGGTCTCACTATAACTGTGCAGGGACCGAATGGCTCATGACAACAGACCAGATACCCTGCACCCCTGTAGCACTCCCAGTGGATCCCCAGAGGGTCCAAAACCATAAACCCTGGTTTGGCTGACACATTTTCCAATAGATAAATTCTAGAATCGCATTTCATAATAACAGGTTTAATACATGGCTAAATGTATAAAATATATAAATGGATAAATAAATGGATATATGGATTAAGTAGCCTGACCACAGTTCCATTAAAATTCTGCTGGTGAAAATTCTGATGCTATAGATTATATTCACATAATTATTTTGCCTTTCTGAATAAAATTAAACACAGCTTCAAGCCACAATGAATTATACCATGTAAACCCTTTAAAACTGGATTGACAGTGTTTACTCAGAAACACTAGTTTCTTTTGTCTTTCAGACATCTGTTAAGTCTGTTTTTATCTTCTTCTAATCTACTGTCATGTCTCTTCGTTGCAGTCACCCCCACCTGTACCTTCTTTGCACCTGCTGCATCACCCTTTGCTCACCTGATTCCACTGAAACCTCTCACCACTCCCTCTTTGCCAGGCTGACTTTGTGCTTTTAGTTCTGTCAGACTCTTTCTGCCTGCTCTGTTTGTTTGCCTCTATGGTTCTGGTAACTTTATACTCTAAGTAAAGCTTGTTTTTGTATCAAGATTGTAGGCTTTCTGAACTAAATTTGATTTCTTTTGTAGACGTGCATATTTAAAACAAAATGTGCTGCATCCTTTTTCCACTGAGAGGGAATAAAAAATCTTTAATATTTGCTTCTCATAGTGTTTTTTTAAAACCTAAATTCAAATTCTCTGTACTTGTGTCATGTATCAACTTAACACTGCATAACTGACTGATGACGAGAGGATAAAATATAACATACCGAGGGTCTTATTGATCAAATATCTTAATATTTGAGAAAAAAGATCTTTTTAGGCTTTTTTTGTTGTAGCCGGTCTAAAAATCCGAGGATCTGTCTGATTTGGGATACAATTAAAGACAGAGAGATTAAGCCCCACATCCTTCCTCCCACAGTCTTATCCTGTATTAAGAGGCAGATGGAGCTTTTTCTTTACTCTATCAATAGCTGTCTATCTGCTGAGAGGGGCGGCCGGTCTGAGATGGAAAGAAGGAGACAACTAACTGCTCTGCAAGTCAACACATGTGATGTAACTCAGCAGACCGAGAGGACAGACTACACGCTGAAAATCACACCTCTTTCCTGCGTTTGACCAGGTCTGAATGTACAATCAAAGCACTTGATTGTGCTTGAAAACTAATTTAAACTTCATATTACATGACACAAACAAGACATCACGCAAACCAACCACCAAAGCAAAACCGGAAGGGAAGAAACAACCAATAACTAACAGGGAACAGGAAAGAAAAAAAAGCCAGAGAGATGATTCATGGAGGGAGTTAGTGTGACAGATGACGATGATTCAAACAATAGGGTGAGATAGTGGCAGATGATCTGTGGTGGCGATATCTAAAGGGAGAAGACAAAAGGAGAAAAAGATCTGAATCCAAAACTTAAAAACAACCCTTGGACCATGACATGTTTACATGGTGCATATAAAATGGTTTGTACAATCTGTAAAGGTGTTGAAGTTGTTGCTTTGATAAAGCTAAGCTCTCCACAGTCCTCAGGTGTGTTTTGTAGGTGTAATAAAGGAGCGGTAACCTTGCATGTGACACTCATAAAAATTAGATTTTCTCCTCGCTCTCTGCTCAGAGAACAGCTGATGTAAAGGTCTCGGCTAAAGGTTGACTGCCAACACTTTCGTTACTGATGCATTTCATCAGGAGAAAAGATGCCATAGTTCACCACTCCAAAAGATCTTTGGAGCTGTCTCTCTAATCACAGTGCTCTTTAAACCAGCATGGCTCTCTTTTTTCCCCTGTTACATGAGGTAAAGTGCAGTTATGCAGCACATCACCGCTCTTAGCTACTGACCCATCTGACAGCATTTCTAAAGGTTGAGTCAAACATGTTGAAAATGAAAAAGCCTTTAAAGTGTACAGAACAATTCATTTTCTCCAGTCAGGTTTTTCCACAGTGGGGATAATAAGGCCAGTCCGTACCTATTTGACTGTCATGGCAATGAGAACCCTTTGTTTCAGGGTGTCCCTTAATAAAGTGACGATAGGCTGAAGCAGCTTCAAACAGACTCAAGTGTTTTGTTTTTGTGTTACTGCAGAGAGCATGACACAGGGGATGAGGAGTATCAGAAAAAATAAAGTAATTTTCTCAAGTATTTTGTGCCACAATTCAACTGTGAGCAATCTCCTCACAAAAAAGTTTTAAAAATGGACAGATGTCTTGGTCAGACCCTTTATTTTGGTGAAAGTCCAGCCAGTAAAACTGCAGTTTACTCACTGCTCACACTGTCTCAGAGATAAAAGGTGCAGGCATTTCCTTAATTGTGGCTGCTTTAAACACTGGAGCTTCAGACTTTCCAAACCAGCAGAGAGACTGTTCTCTATAAAATGGGATATAACATCCCCGGACCAACACTTTGAGTTTGATGGCCATGTATATAAACATATCCACTTAGCCTTGACCTGCCTAAGTGGATACACTCTTTATCCCTCTGACGTAAAAGGCCGTGAGGCACGCAGGCAGCTTGGAAATCCAAGTTTGTGAATATGATAACTCAAGAACCAGGCGACGCAGGAGGTTCAAATTGATACCAAAGGTGTACGAAAGATTTTGGACGAATTTGAATCCAAGACATTGACCTTTAAGGTCAGAGGTCAAGTTTTCTGACAATCTTGTGAATACTAGAACGTGAGAATAATGTGATGTAGGTCCCAAATGGTTGATTCTGTTCATCTGGTTGTAGCGTTTTCAGTGGGAGAACACTACAGCCAGATAAACAGAGTCAACCTTTTGGGGTTTATTTACCTGGATGATTGAGCATGCATCAAGCCAAGGTGATGCAGGATTTCTAAATTGATACCATAGGTTTATCTACTAGAAGGCTGAGGGGTAGCACTGGTAGCCAGTAGTATTTTTTAGTGTCTCACAGTCTCCAGTCTTTGCATCTGTAATATCAGCTTAACAAACAGCAGAGATATCATGAATGTGCTGTGCAAACATGAGGAACATGTATGACATGTATGCATTATGAATGCAGATTTAATGAAGGGAAAGAAAGTAAGTTTCATATTTCATGTATTTAAAGGTAAAGATCAACATTTCTGAACTGTTTTGACTTGCTTTGTTTCAAATGCAGTTTGATATTTAACATATTTATTGCCATCAGCGTGCCAAAGTTGATGCCATTGGGCACAAACTCTATTATGCATCAGTAAAGAACATTGCAAGATGAGAATTAACTTTGTTAAGTCTTTATTATATAGTACACCATCTAAGAAAGGCTGTGAGTGGACAGTATGAATGCAAACTTAGTCCTCTGAAGTAGTCGTCAACATTTGGATTAATTGCTCAACCAGGTCGGTTATATTGAGACCTAGCTTGGCATATTTTTTAACCAAATTTTAAACTCTGGAGTCTCTCAGTGAGGGTTAGCAATAATGCTAACTGGGAAAACCACTTAGCATATTTCAGTCTAGCAGCTCTGAAGCTC